CATGATAATTCACAAGGGTTTATAGACACATACAATATTTCATTTTCAGTAAGGACAAAAAAATTATTCTGCAGGCTGTGACATTCTAAAACAAGGAAATATGAATAAAATGAACATCTACAATATTCACTAATACTGGGGTAAATTACATGTCTAGCATGCTGTGATTCAGGTGACATGTCCAAAGTTCCTCTGTGAAGTGGTCCAGGTCCACTTAGTTAGAGTCTTCGTGGAATTCACCAACATCCTTGGTCCAATGAGGCATGAGGGCAGAAGAATTTGCCAATGGCCCCTTGAGTGTGTCTTTGGTGGGGACAGGGGGTGATGGGATGTTAGATTCTCCTCTGTCGCTTACTTGAGAATGGAGAGGGAAACCCATGGAGGCCAGAATATGCAGGGCTTAATCATGAGGGAGGAAGTAGAAGTCCCCTGTTTTATAATTGGGTTAATGAGAGATAGGTTCCCTAACCTCTGAATGAAGCAGTTGGGAAATTGACTTTTGCTTTTCTCAGAAACTCCCCAGAGACAGGGTGCTAGAAAAGTTCAGGGAATTCAGTTCTCTGACCTCAACTTTCCATTTCATACATCTTAGATGCTTCAGGGCCTCTCAGCCCAGCAATCATGTCCTCAACTCTCCTTTTAGTGAGTTTTAGGGCAGACTGACTCTATTCTATTCCCCTACAACTTTCTTAGCAAGAAAGTCATTAAGGGCTGGACTTGGCACATGGAGGGGTGGCATCAATGGCACGTGGTGAATCCTTAGGGAGAGGATCAGCATTTAGCAGTGCCTTTTAGGGGTGGAACGATTCCAAGTCAGTTACATTTATTGAGCCCTTACCATGGATGGGCAGACCTTCAGGTGGGGTCTTTGAGACACATTGGTGCCTTCTGTTGTTACTCTTGCTTCCACATGTTTTCACACATGGTGAGTCTTCATAGATTTGCTCACTCTTTCAGCTGATGAGGCAGACCTTAGACATCACCCCTTAAAGCCTCAGCTGCTTAGTTAAAGGACAGGGTGACAAAGTTACTTTATAGTTTAGCTTTGAGCAGATGTTACAGTCATTCGCACCAGAGCCACTGGTAACACGGCCAACATGGAATAGTTTGCAAAACTAGTTTTCTGAATCAACAGCTGAATAATGTATTTTTTAAGCAATATTCTTTTGATAAATTCAAAGGATCTGGCTAAGATGTTCTCTTATCTGGCCTCCTACGGGAGAAAAAAAAGTATTAGCCTATCTGTGCCTGAATGGAGATTAGTCTATACAGAAAACTAAAATTTGCTGGGAAGAAATCTTGAACCAAGATCTCCAAGTTTTAGACCAGTGAACAGTGACACACTATTTGGATTTATTTGATCTCTTTGTCTTTAGACTTTGTTAGTGAAATAAAACTTTTTTTTGGGATGACTTGGTGCAAGGGAATTAGTGTTCTGCTTACAAAAAAAAATCTAGAAGATAAGTTAAGAACTAAGACCACAAACAATGTTCAAGGAAGTTCATTCACCTAATCTTTAGTGGGGCATGCTTGGAATTAGTTTCAAAATGAGGAGCTTATTTTTTTTAGATTAGATACTCTCCCTGCATGTACTTTAACCTCTGTACTGTTTATAGGACACCTCCAGTGTCTTAAAAATAGATGTAATAGCAGATGGAGGATTCAGGGATCACTCCAAAACCACTTCTTAACATCTACTGTGTTCTCAGCTGTGTGCAACGTGCTATAGAGGATGTAACAGACACTCAACCAGTCTTCAAAAGGTTATATCTTCACTGAGAGACCTGACAGATGTGCATGAACTAGATAGAGAATAATTGGTGACAAAGTCTTAGAGCTTAGATCTCAAGTCCCAAAGGCAAATCTTGCAGAGTGCTTTCCCTGGCAGCCCAGTTTGGCTGGCTCCTGAAACATTCTCTCCTCTCCAGGGCGTCTAAGCTCTGCACAGGCTGCCTGGGAAGAAATTACACCTTTGGCAAGTAGATAACTGAAGTCAGATCACATTTTTTGTTTCTCCTAGAAGTTTTATTTTTATTTTTAAAAATTTAATTTAATTTTAAGTTCTGGGATACATGTGCAGGACACGCAGATTTCTTACACAGGTAAATGTGTGCCATTGTGGTTTGCGGCACCTATTAACTCATCAAAGACCTAGAAGCAGAAACACTATTTGACCCAGCAATCCCACCGCTGGGTATATACCCAAATGAATAGAAATCATTCTATTATAAAGATGCATGCACATGTATGTTCATTGCAGCACTATTCACAAAAGGAAAGACATGGAATCAACCCAAATGCCCAATGCCCATCAATGATAGACTGGATAAAGAAAATGTGGTACATACACACCATGGAATACTATGCAGCCAGAAAAAGGAATGAGATCATGTTCTTTGCAGGGACACAAATGGAGCTGGAAGCCATTATCCTTAGCAAACTAACACAGGAACAGAAAAGCAAACACTGCATGTTCTCACTTACAAGTAGGAGTTGAACAATGAGGACTACACTTTTGTAAATTTTCTTTCTTCCGGACATTTTTTTTTTTTTTAAAGATTTTACTCTTCCACTTGGCTTTGCCTTTGTTGTAAACATGATTCCCTTCCTTGTCGATGTTATTATTCCATTCTGGAAGCTGGATTTTGGTGAGCACCAGGTGGAAGAGTCAATGGATTTCATGATCTTTAAAGTAAGTGTTGATTGGGAAACTGAGACGCCTAGCTCTAGTTCAGGCTCTGCACCAACCAGCTGTGTGACTCTGGGCCCCAGATTCCTCTTCTGTAACATGAAGAATCCATGAGCCCCCTTCCAAATTTGACAGCTTATGATTACTCTGCATAGGAAACTAGGATGGAGGGAGGCTTCTGCGTCTGACTTCTCTGTGATAGGATACCTTTGGAGAGAAGAATGTTGGAAAAGGCCAGTCAGTCCAATCTTATTTTTCAAAACCTCATAGTACATGAGGTTCTATGACAGGAAAAGTAAAATAAGAAACCGCAAAGCAGGGACTGGGTTCATTTTAAATATTTAGAAATTTTCACAGACAATGTTTACTGAGGTCAGGCCCTCCTTAAGATTCTGTGTGTATCCCCATTTTAGGTTTCCTTAACTGTGAATCCTGGAAATGTCCATTTAATGTGCTGTCTGATTAGAACACAGACTTAGGTTTCAGGGTCTCTCCCTTTGGCCCTGCCGATTAAAAAGTCAGTATTAAAGTATTTTAGACATCGCAGGCAAAATGTCACTACAATTGTCAGTGGTTTACACATCTAGTGACCTCTTTATGAAATTATCTCTCAGAGGTTTTTCATTTTCAAGCAGCGGTTTAATACATGTTAATTTCCTTTTAAAAATTCTACTCTAAATCCATTCGATTTTTAGCTTTTTAAGACAATTTGATGATTATATTGTGTATACATCTTGTTCTGTTAACCTTTAATAGCCTTGGATTAAAAATACAACAACTAATCTTTTAAAATCAGAAGACAAAAGTGGTCCTTGCAAATCCTCTGAGAGGACCTCTCATTGATACTCCAAACCAGAAGTAATTAAAGCAACAGAGAACATTTGCTTTCAAGCTAAATTTCTCAGAAAATACTCACCTAGTGATAGAGTCATTGTTCCCGTGAGGATGAAACCTGCCCACGTAAGATTCCTGCCTTCTGTATAAACATCCTGTGTGTGAAAGATTGGTATATGGCAGAAGGATCAGCTGGGTACACAGAGGAGCATGGTGGGGAGCTAAAGGGAGGGCACAACAATGAGGGGATGGCATTATGGCTGTTTTATAGATCAGGACTGAGGCTCAGAGAGGTTTCATCACTGGTTCCAGGCCACACAGCTCCTCTTTGGACCAAGGTTTGTATTTTCGAGATGTAAATGCTTCTACCACATTTCTGACTTCTGCAGAGCATCTTATAGTGGTTCATCATATCAATCTTGCCTTATACTATCAAGTGGAATGAATATTCTACACTGAGTGCTAACATTTCTCAACTCCAGCCTCAAATCTGTGAAGCTAACCAGGTTCCCTAACAGGCATAAGAAAGAAACTGAGAAGAGGAAAGGAAAATCACAAAGCCTCAACCACTGTCCTCGGAGGAAGGTATGGAGAAGGGGAAATTCATGAGGCCGTAACAAGTCAGAAGGCATTTCAATAATTAGTTAGTTAAATTGCGGTAAAATACACAACAGGATTTACCATCTGAACAATTTTTAAGTGTATAGCTAAGTAACAATAAAATACATTCACATAGTTGTGCAGCCATCACCGCCTTTCATTGCCCCAAATTGAAACTACCGTGAAAACACTAACTCCACATTCTTCCTCCCCATGCAGTCCCTAGCAGCCACCATTCTACTTTCTGTCTCCATGAATTTGACTACTCTAGGTACTCTAGGTGCTGTATAAGTGGACTTATACAGTATTTTTATTTCTGTGACTTAGCGCGCCACTTAGCGTATTCAGTCCCATTTTATAACGTAGCTGACTGTTCTAAGGGCTTGTTGTAGATGCTTAACCCTGGGACCCTTTAACGAGTCTGCACAAGCAGAGGTAGACGTCAGGCACTCTTTAGGCATAGGAGATGTAGTGGAAGCATATATATTTTGAGAAACACAGATCTGGGCTCGAATAAGAGCTGTGTGGCTTTGGGCAAGTGACTACACCTCCCTGAGTCTCAGTTTTTTCTTATCTATAAAATGTCCTCTGATTTTTCTTGTAAGCATTCAATCAACATGTGCTAGATCAGCAAAAACACTTCAAGGCAGCAACACTACAAAATCAAGGCCTATGTTGGGAATAACATCAAGCAGCTGATATTTGCTATTTTGTTCACTTGTCTCAGAACACGTTTTGGGGAAAACCGAGGGAGAGAACAAACTCAAGAGGGAGCACAATGATGATCGTCCTCAGGCCTGGCAAGGATGTTTCTAATGATTGAGGAGAGCTCTTTGATTTCTGTGATTCCAGGCTGTCGGCTCCTGTGCTTTAAACTATGGCTGTTATAAAAAATGTGACTGAAATAATTTTCCTGGGATTTTCCCAGAATCGGAATGAGCAGAGGGTCGTTTCTGTGATGTTTCTCCTCATGTGCACAGCCGTTGTGCCGGGCAATGGCCTCATTGTGGTGAACATCCTGGCCAGCAAAGGGGTCACCTCCCCCGTGTATTTCTTGCTCAGCTACGTATCCTTTGTGGAGATCTGTTATTGTTCTGTCGCGGCCCCCAAGCTTATCTTTGACTCTTTTATCAAGAGGAAAGTAATTTCTCTCAACGGCTGCATCACCCAGATATTTTTCCTCCATTTCTTTGGTGGCGCTGAGATCTTTCTCCTGATGGTGATGGCCTACGACCGCTATATGGCCATCTGCAAGCCCTTGCACTACACTGCCATCATGAACCAGCAAATGCGTAGCCTCCTGGTGGGGGTAGCATGGGGTGGGAGCCTGCTGCATTCTGTTGGGTAAACCTTCCTCATTTGCCAGCTCCCCTTCTGTGGCCCCAACATCATCGACCACTGCTTCTGTGATGTCCACCCAGTGCTGGAGCTGGCCTGCGCAGACTCCTTCCTCATTAGCTTACTGTTCTGTCACGGCACCCCCAAGCTTATCTTCGACTCTTCTTTTTTTTTTTAAATTTATTTTTATTATTATTATACTTTAAGTTCTAGGGTACATGTGCATAACGTGCAGGTTTGTTACATATGTATACTTGTGCCATGTTGCTGTGCTGCACCCATCAACTCGTCAGCACCCATCAACTCGTCATTTACATCAGGTATAACTCCCAAAGCCATCCCTCCCCCCTCCCCCCTCCCCATGATAGGCCCCGGTGTGTGATGTTCCCGTTCCCGAGTCCAAGTGATCTCATTGTTCAGTTCCCACCTATGAGTGAGAACATGCGGTGTTTGGTTTTCTGTTCTTGTGATAGTTTGCTAAGAATGATGGTTTCCAGCTGCATCCATGTCCCTACAAAGGACACAAACTCATCCTTTTTTATGGCTGCATAGTATTCCATGTTGTATATGTGCCACTCATCAAGAGGAAAGTAACTTTCCTCTTTCCGCCGGATGATGGCGGCTCCATCTCTGTGGGCAGCTTCTCGGTGCGGATAGCTTCCTACCTGATCATCCTGCACTCCCTGAGGAGCCACAACTCCGAGGCGCGGCGCAGGGAACTCTCCACCTGTGCCTCTCATGTCACAGTTGTGGGCCTGTTCTTCATGCCCTTGCTCCTTTGTCTGCATGAGGCCCTGTGTCACCCTCCCTGCAGATAAGATAGTCGCCGTATTTTACACGGTGGTCACACCTCTCTTAAACCCCGTCATTTACTCCTTTAGGAATGCTGAAGTGAAAAACGCCATGAGGAGACTCGTTGGGAGAAAAGTAATTTGGGAAGAGAAGTAGATGATTTAGTTAGGGAAAATAGGAGGAGCAGGGGAGAGGAAATCTCACTCTGCATCTACCTTGCCCAATGGAGTGAGTGGTCTTGGGCCAGTTACCTTCTTTTTTGAAGTTTCAGTTTCCTCATCTTATGGGGTTGGACAAGATCGAAGGGGTCTCTAGGATGGAGTAAGAGGGGTCTTCTCGTACTGTGTTTCCACATCTGACAGTGGTCTCGAGACAGATTGGCTGGTCTAGAGAGAATAAACTCTTCCAGAAAACCAGGTCAGCCTGGGAATGGTGAAGAGGGACGTAGGGGTTGAGAATGACTGTCTTGGGGAGCAGTAGTCAATATGTCCTCCCAGTTTGAACATTCACATGATTGGAAAGTCTCTTGACTTGACATACTGAGGTTTTGCTGAGAGGGTTTTGGGCAGGCAAGCTGACTGAGAAGGGTTTAGTCCTGAGAATGGAAGACGTTGACTCTTGTCAAGAGATTTGCATGAGCTCATACTAGCATTAGACTCAGGGTTCTCAAGAATCCAAAAGAACCACAGGGAGATTTTAAGCAAATGGAAGGCACTGGATGATAATATCGACTTTGTAGGCACTGGTTTTATTTTCCATGTATCATTAACATTTTGTTTCCTATTATAAAAATCTCTCCTGTTCACGCTTGTTCCCCCCTTTAACTCCCTGTTTTCCCTCCTTCTGCCTCTTATTGTTTAACCTTTTCCTTTTCTCAGTCTGTTGGCCTCTTGGCTTCTTGTAATCACATATATGGTTAGAGCTGACATAGTTGCATTTATCATTTGTAGGGCATTATGACATGTAGGTATAGGAGGGGGTGTTATTGCCCCTATTTTACATGGAGAATTTACTCAGAAAATGTTGTCTAAAATCACAGAGTAGGTAGAGTGAGGATTTGAATTCACATTGTCTGATTCTGGAAGTCATGCTCCTTTTTTAATCATCCCACATCTGCACCATCAGGGAGTCTAGCCCACACCTTCCTTTTAAATGGTAGGAAACTCTTAGAAACTTTAGTGCACCCGAAAGTCATTTGTATTTTAAATCTTTTATTCTATATACAATCTTATAAATCCTTTTAAAAATATGACATTGATAACTTTAGATCATCATATGACATTGATATTGAAAACTTAAGTTGTTCATAATATTCTCTCATTATCCTTTATTTTCTACAGAATTGTAGTGATATCCTTTTGCCTTCCCAGTATTAAAAATTTGTGCTTTTTTCTTTTCCATTTCATTTGTTTTGTTAATATTTGCAAAGGACCATTGTTTCACTTCGTCTAAAATTTTTCTGTTTTTGTTTTCTCTGATTAATATCTGTTATCTTTCCTATATCCTTCCCTCTAGATTGTATGAGGAGTCAGGTAAAAACTTAGCTCGTTGATTTTAGACCTTACTTCCTTTCTAATATAAGAATTTAAAACTGGGATGGAACTGGAGATCATTAGGCTAAGTGAAATAATCCAGACATGGAAAGACAGACATCACATGTTATGACTTATTTGTGGGATCTAAAAATCCAAACAATTGGACTCACGGGCATAGAGAGTAGAAGGATGGTTACCAGAGGCTGGAAAGGGTAGTGGGAGAATGAGGGGGAGGTGGGGATGGTCAATGGGGGAAAAAAGTAGAATAAATGAGACCTACTATTTGATAGCACAACAGGGTTACTATAGTCAATAATAACTTAATTGTATATTTTAAAATAACTTAAAGAGTGTAATTGGATTGTTTGTAACTCAAAGGATAAATGCTTGAGGGGATGGGTATCCCATTCTCCATGATGTGCTTGTTTCACTTTGCATGCCTGAATCAAAACATCTCATGTACCCCATAAATATATCTATCTACTATGTACCCACAAAAATAAAAAATAGTAATTAAAGAGTTTTAAACTATAAACTTAAAAAAACAATACTTTAGCTGCATCCCACGAAATTTCACAAGTATTTTTATCATTCAGTTTAAAACATAATCTCATTTTCAATGATGTCTCCTTTAACTAATGGATTATTTAAAACTATGTTGTTTAATTTTCAATTATTTGGGATTTTTCCTTGATATCTTGTTGTTATTGAATCCTAGTTTAATTCCGTTGTGGTTAGAGAGTATTCTGAATAATGCCATTCCTTTTACATTTGTTAAAACCTGTTTCATAGCCAAACCTAAGGTCTATCTTAGTGAATCTACAATGTGTGCTGGAAAAGAATGTGTATTTTTCAGTTATAGGGTATAGTGTTCTATAAATATCAATTTGGTTAGGGTGGGTGATATATTGCTCAGATCTTTTATGTTTCTACAGATTTTCTTGGTCTAATCATACTACCACTTTCTGAGGCAGTAGAGTTGTTACTGCAAAGGGGTACCATTCTGGACCCCAAGAGAACGTTCTTGGATATTGCACAAGAAAGAATTCAGGGCTATTCCATAGCCTAAAGTGAAATCAAGTTTATAAAGAAAGTAAAGGAATAACGAATGGCTACTCCATAGGCAGAACAGCAGCTTGCGCTACGGAACTAAGGATACTTGTAGTTATTTCTTGATTATATGCTAAACAAGGTATGGATTATTAGTGAGTTTTCTGGGAAGGGAGTGGGCAATTCTTGGAACTGAGGGTTCTTCCCCTTTTAGACCATACAGGGTAACTTATTGATGTTGCCATGGCATTTGTAAACTGTCATGGCTCTGTGGGAGTGTCTTTTAGAATGCTAATACATTGTAATTAGCACATAATGAGCAGTGAGGATGACCAGAGATCACTTTCATTGCCATCTTGGTTTTGGTGGAATTTGGAGGGCTTCTTTACCACAACTTGTTTTGTTAACAAGGTCTTTATGACCTGTATCTTTTGCTGACTTCCTATCTCATCCTGTGACTTAGAGTGCCTAACCTCCTGGGAAGGCAGCCCAGTAGATCTCAGCCTCATTCTACTCATCCCCTATTCAAGATGGAGTTGCTCTGGTTCAAACGCCTCTGACAGAGTTAATTTCTCCAACTACGATTGTGGAAATGTTTATTGATTTCTTTAAACCTGAGAAAGAAAAAATTGCAGATGAAGAAATGACATCAAGAGAAATTAAGTCACTGTTGAAGGTTATATATCTAGCAAATAGGAGAGTCAGCCTTTAAACAAGGCAGGTTGAATCCCTGGCCCATGTTTTTAAGCCCCATGTTATATAACTCCTTGCTTGTCTTACCTACCTTGCAGGGTGAAAACGCTTCAAAATGCCATGTACATGTAAGGTGGTAGTCAAGGGGCTAGTTTAGTTCAAACTTGTCCCTGCTACTCGCAAGAAAACCCAGATGACTTCATGTTTAGTACCAGCTATTTCCCCAAATAGATGGCACAAAACCATGCCCTATTGTAGTTGCTTATTAACTACATGCAGAATGAATGAGTTTGTGATGACTGAGTACAGGAGCCTAAAGCAAAAATAAAAACAGTGGCTTTCATAGCTTCCAAAGTTAGTCTGAACCACTAAGTAAATGTGACAAGGGGGTATGGTGTCTCCATGGCCCACTCCTCTAATTGGAATGCAATGCCCCTGGGGTCTCATTAGCAAGCCTCAAGGTACTTTTACTAAAAACGAATGTGCTATAACTCCTAAAGTAGTGGCACTCAAGTTTAGTGATGGCTTTGGCTGGGGTGATACCACATGAGCTTCCTTGAACCCTCTGTGCTTAAAAATTCACTGCAACTCTCTAGTTCTCTGGTCAGGCTTCTTGACTTTGGCTGCTTACTGGAGAAGGGTGAAGCTCACTAAGGTCAGTTCTCATGTAGGCTTGGTCTTGACTGTCTAGAATAAACCTGAACTGAACAGGGAACGTTGTAGAAAACAGATGTCTTCACTTGCTTTGTTCTGTTCTGTTTTGTTCTCCCTGTTCTGTTCTCAATGCCCACATGGAAGTCCTGCTGCACAGTATCTGAGTGTTTCTCAGGATCCTGCTTTCAAATACATCAAGTGGGAGTTTGACATCTGAGTTGATTTTTTTTTTTCTTCTGATGGCTGAGGTATCACTGGAATTCTTCTCCTTAACCATTTTCGTAACCATTACTCATTAGTTGCTGAGAACATGGCCTCTTGGTGATCAGGTGGTCCCGCTTCCTTGGTCAGGAGTATTGTATGGCGACTAAGAGGATAGCGTTAACGTCCTGGACACTGGGTTACATTTCCTGCTCTAACCGTTACTGCTGTGTGAATTTGACCCAGTCACTCAGTCATTTGAATCCTCATGTGCCTCATCTGAAAAATAGAGACAATCATAGTAGCTTCCTCGAAGTGATGTTGAGTGGATTAAGTGAGATGAGGCATTTAAAGTGCTCTGCACAAGTCCCGGCACACAGCAAGTATTCAATAAGTACAAGCAAATGTTACACTGCTGTGGTTACTGGTCTCTCTACTTGTGGTCAAGTTAAAGCTCAGAAACTACTTTCACATGTATTTATTCTTTAGAGGCTTGCTAGATGGACGCCCAGACCATGACAGGGGGCTGTTGAAGGCACAGGACTGCAGCAAAGGATGTGTACTTAGAGTAGAGGGGTCAGAGTTTACAGACCAGGGAATGGGCTGCTCTGGCATGTGGTCCCTGATGCCACACTAACTTTTTGCAAATTAGAGCAATCCGAGAGTGTATTTTCATTGAAGTGTAGTCTTAGAACACTTTCTCCAAAACCTAGACCCACCCAGCAATGAGCTTTTTCATGTAAATGAGTTCTTTGAATACCTGAAGCTTAAGAGGCTTTTAGAAGACTTTTTACATTTTAATCTTTTAAGGTAGAAATGTTTCTAAATTGCATTACAGATTCCTTTTGTATTTCAAGACAATGTATTTGAAAACTGGTGAGAGGACAAATTCAGTGTAATGTGAATCTCAATCCCCCACCATTTCCCAGGAAAAGTAGTGAAGGGAATTAGTAAAGATGTAAAACAACTTACTTGCTTTCTAGCTAGTCTTAAAATCATCAAATACGAATTCATCATTAAAGT